TAGACGAAAAGAAACTCGTTCGAGACGAAATTTTGGAAAATTCTGTCGATTACACGAGTGCTGTTCTTTCTATACGGTATGGCGACGATTTTCTTTTGTATTTCTAACGTGTTCCTTTTTTCTCTTTGTTTCTACGATCGATCGAATCAAGAATGGAGGATTTTTCAGTGTAACCCTTCAAGGAAGATCGCCAATTATGTCTCGTCAAATTTATCGCGAGAAAATTTGTTAACTTGTGATACTGTGATATTGTATACGTTTGGAAGTTTCTTGATTTCCTCTGCTTTTTTTCCTTTTTTTTTTTTCTTTTTTCTTTTAAATTAGATATAATAGCGTTATGTTTAAATCTATATTTAAATTCTGACTTATACGTATTACTTATAGTTACCGACACTGTTCGTGATGTCTATTTACGTCGCTATGAAGTATTGAGTCCCACGCCATGCAAACATGATTCTATTTACAGATATATTTGAGTATTTAAACAGAACACCTCAAAGTTTATTCATTATTATTATGTTTCCTTTCCACGCTTGTCGTTTCAGCGATTACTCTCTCATTCCGTACAGCTTCGCTATTGGAAAAATAGAGCTGGTTTCGACGATCTTAAGTGAAGACCTGTCGGTTTCTTTTGTGCGATACGAAGACCAATGACTGTACTGCTGCATTGTTCCGTTTTCACTGAACCTCTCACCGAGTCTCTTCTCCTTCTCGCGGCCATAGCTGTAAACATAATCTACGCAGTTGCGAAAAACGATCCTGTATTTACGATTATTATTATTTCTCGCGTATGTTTCACGTGAATATTGTTAACTTTACATTCGTTGTACGATGTGAGGAGTGCAACTGCCGTGTCTCTCAATCCTCTCCCTTACGTTCGTCGCATCGTCCGCTAAAATATTCGGATTCTCATCGATAAACTGAAAATTAGCCGTTACCTTATATGTTTCTCAAGATCAGTTTCATCGTTCTAATTTAGTCCTACGTTTGATAACCTACGACGAGATATACCCATAGGGTAAATACGGTGGAGTAAATACGCAGCACGATTAATTCGATAACTCTTCTTCCGTGCAGATACGCGTTGAAGCTCGTCAGAACGTTAAACGTACCCGTATTGAGTTTTATCAAGTATATTAAGTGGTGTGGTGAAATGACGAAAGTTCGGTACCTTTAGGAGATACTATTCCGAGCCATTATCGATCGCTCGTTTCCCTCGATCAATTCCGTTTTAATTAGACGCGAAAGTGGTGAAATTCACTGAATGACTTTGGTTCGCTTAATTTATGCTAATTTGAAAATTCCCTTAAATATCGTGATAAGTTATTAACACGTTCCGTACCAATGACTCAAATATCAGAAATTCAACAAGAGCACAGTTTCAATAACGCGTATTAGATGCTAGAACTGCATTTGGAGCTTGAAAACTATCTCATTTCATTTTCCCAGTTTTGGGCAATTTTCTTCCCTTTAACAATGAATTGATTCTGCATTATTACTAGTCTTATTCTTATAATTATTATTAGTATTATTATTCATATTATTCCCTAATTGGATATTTTAATACGACTCTTTATTCGAATTTATAGTACCGCTGAAATGCCTAGTTTTTCTCATAGTACGGAACATGTTGAATTGGTTTAAAATCGCCGAGTTTGGGTCTTTGTGCTCGAAGATACGATGAGAAATACACCCCATATGAGCCGCGACGATAACCAATCATTGACTTTCCTTTAAACAGAAGTTTAGACCATTCAATGATGAAGGATCCGCGCGGAAAGGGGAACGTGTACTTGCAACACTGAATTCCATCGTTTCGACGAGCTTTCAGTATGTTTACGCACTAGACCGTCAAATGTCTGCACGTACAATTCACTGTTCCGAGCCACAGTTACGAGAGACGCCTAGCGACATCCGATTTGTCGTTGGTTGGTCTATTTTTTCCTCTTTCCTTCTTTTTTTCCCTTTGATACTCGGAATATGCGATTCTAACGCGTTGGATCGAGGCGTAATTACAGATTTTTGCAGTAGACTTTATCATTAATTTTTGATATTACGAATGCAATTATTTACGCAGTTAAAAATTAATTGCTGATTACATGTTGATAGGTGACGAGAGGATATCTGCACCTACCTCTCCTAACTTTTGTTTCAGTTATGAAGCAGAAGTTACAGATTAAAATCATACAAAAAACAGCTATAAAGTTCTTAAAGGAATAGATTTTGCATGGTCAGAGTACAGTCATTGAGAACTTCCATGTGATGGGAGAACGCAAGTTGTAAGCAGGGTAACGTGATCAATGACAACGTATCTTTGATCTTGTTCGTAGCTCGATGCGGAACCCTTCGTCGCGGACATATCAAAGATTTTCCAAGAATTCTGATTCGTGTCTGTACGGAAAGCAGGGACTATCCAACTTGGCAGTTTTGTCTTCTGTGCTACGCTTGTTCAACTTATATTTTGTTCAACTGTCATTAGATTCGATTACGTTATCCTAAAAGGCAAAATTTGTCCTTCGTTTAAGCACGACCAAATTAATCAAGAAGAAAATTCAACATAACAAGCCATTGATAGAATTTTGCCCAAATTTCGTATCTTTCTTTCAAGCTTGTGTCTTTCATTCTTTAACCGTTGTAGCAACCATACGCACTATGCATTTACGATTTGCCGAACATTACGTGAACTGCGGTTTACGTTTTTACCTGTGAAAAGGTTGGACATCCCTGTCTCAAGATTTTCTTGGCTTTTTATTTGGCAGTTATTTAGAGACCGTATCAGTTCCACGAGAGACCCTTAGTGGCGTGATAATTGTTCACGATTCCATCGTAACGCTCGCACACAAAGCGATTATAATTATCATTATTATTATTATTTAATTTCTTATTAACGTATGTACGTAATATTATTAACAATAATATCATTGTTAGCGTTATTCAATCATTATTATCTTTAATATTATTCATCATCCATCTTTACGATTATTATCGTTACCATTTTCATCATTATTATTATTACTACTATTATTATTACTATTATTATTATTATTATTATTATTATTAATATTAATATTAATATTGTTATTATTGTTATTATTATCGTTATTACTATTATTGTTGTTGTCCTTTTTTCTCTCGTTCGTGTTTGTTACTATCGTTTACTGAAAGGCCGCGACAACGCTCTCTCGAGGAATGTGTACAACACAGCTTTTCGAATTCTCCTAATACCCTCGAACGAATCCAATGTCCTAGCTCGCTCGACGAGGATGCGCGTTACATAATTATGATTACGTATCGCCTTATGACACCGAGCGTCGATCATCTTATCCGGAGATGAGACTGAGAGAGTAAGAGAGATAGATAGAAAGCGACAGCGGTCAGCGGTCTGTTAGGTTAAACGGAGATAAGGGCTTAGCCGAAGAAAGAGAACGCACAACGTGGCCGTGTATTGTCAATAGTGAATAATGTGTCGAGGTGCCTTCTTTACCCTCCTCTGTCCGCGATGCGTCTACAACGCCTGTCCCTTTGAATCGCTTCCTGGCCAGTTCTTCCGTTTCTCTGGTTCGGTTCTTCCACGCGAGGAACGCTTCGCGTTTTAACGACGACGATACGAAACGATCGAAACGTTGGAAAATTTGGTCGACCAGCAAGAACCGAACGAACGACGACGACCTATCTGGCGGGTCCTCCGCTTCCGGTCTCCTCTTGCTTCTTCCTTCCTTCCTCTTCTTCTCTTTGCTTCTTCTCCTTCCTTCATCTTCGTCGCCGAAACCTCGTCGATACTGGAAGCACGTCGCGCACGTTTCACTCCGTGCAATTTCCCCGTTCCAGGATTTTCTTCCTCGTAGAAGAAAACGGGAGAACAGAGACGGAGAGAGGGAGAGCGAAGAGAAAGCAAGTACAAAGTAACCAGTCCCTTTCGTGCTTTCGTTACTTGGTCGCTCCACAGTGGCAGCCTCCTCGAAACCCACGTGTCGTCGTTTCTGTGAAGCAAAAAGAAAGAAAAGCTAGATTGAATGAAACTGCTACGTGTAACGTTATCATTGAGTTATAGCGTGGATTAGGTTCGAGCAAGCTTCCTGAGGTTGTTTCAGACAATCAATGATCAGGAAGACTTTCGTGTATTATGTTCATTGTCATTAGAACAATCAATTCGTAATAAACTATGTATTCTAGATAACTCTTTATACAAAAAATTTCTTTTCAAAGCAAATTTTTTAATTTAAAAGGTGTTTATATTTAAAACAGTATTAATATCCGTTTCCTGAATCAAAATTCGCACGAAAATTGTTGACTTTCGAGAATTCAATTTCAGTCAAACGGCTATTATCACAGGTATTATCTATTATTTAGGGGGAAATTAAATATCATACTGACGAAATTATCGCGACAACGAACATGCGAAGCTTGCTGCGTAAAACGAATTAACATTTCCAGACTGTGTTAATTTCGTTTTCTGCGTGTCACTCATGCAATGTGAAGAGCAACGTTACACGATACTCGAACGCAACAACTAGTGTACCCACGTAGTTGCCATTGTTCATCAGAAATTGATGGACAGTGGTATTCCCTTTTATGTCGTTAATGTCATTAACGTTTCAATATAGTCGTCACATAGATGTTACATTGCATTAGTTGCAATGAAAGAATATAATCCAGAAGGAATAATAAATTTTGATAAAAACGATTGTCTCATGGTGAATGACATGGTGTTACTTTACATGAGAAATAAAGTATGCCAATGCAAATATGAAAGGAAGCTTGATTACATTACAAATTTCTTTATGAATATTGCATTGAGTTTGGAAAATTTAAATGAGCTCGAAATGGCATAAATTTTGGAAGTTTCAGCGGAGAAAGATTCGACGGGAAGGGTGTATCTTTATAATCGAGTTGCGTTGTATCTTTAAATTTACTTTAAAATTACTTTTACGAGGAAAAATAGTGAACGAGCTTAAAAATAATATTACCTTTGGCATTTTTTGTGCATTTTTTCGGTGACTTGACCGGGGCAATCTATTTATTGGACAATTATGTGCGGCGCACGACACAGTATCACTATCGTGGCCAGAACCGTGAACAACGTGAAGATGAACAAGCAAAGCCTGCAATTAACAAGAAAAAGAATGCAATTAGATTACACGGTGAAGTTCCTTGACGCTAAGATCACACTTAAACATAAATAGTTTACTTAAAACACGAACAAGAAAATATATTCATACTCGAAACATAACGTCAGTGTTACTAAACTATTTTTGTCATAAGGTAAAAATCATATGATCATTTTTATTTCGCATAGAGTACGTTGTTTGGAAATAAAATACTGAACCTGTCCACCACCATAGCAGCGAATTTCCAATCGCTAATGACCTGGTCGCTTTCATCCGCTTTTCTCATACGTTCCGTGATGAATCGCAATTCCTTGAGAATCTTGTGCAATTCCTCCTGCACCCCGCTCAGAGGCAACGACGCCGACGTATCTTCGACTGTTGCTGGCCTTCCGGTAGATATCGGTGTACCGAATGCCGACCTGTTATCCAATTAAACTAATTATTTAACAGAAACACATTTGTCGAGTTATTTTTAAATTATGAATTTCCTAAATAATCTACAACAATCTTAACCCTCTACACCTAAAATCTTCTTTGATTCTGAAAAAAGCAATTTTAATTGATTATAATTCCTCTGTTATTATGATTAGGACTCAAGGATTAACTATTATTATATATACACTGTACAATATCAATACTCACAATACTGCAACGCTGTATAAGATGACAATAATAAATAATAAAAGAAATAAATAAAATCAAACTTGAAGAACGTATCTGTATGACAAGTGAAAGACTCGACTTTTCTTATATAATAAAAATGCATCTTTTTCTTACAACACTATGATATTACTATCAAACACGATATAATATATTCCGAAGGCGACAAAAGCAGACCATTTATGTCCGAAAAATGTCCAATATTGATTCTCGAAACACTTGATATATGACGATCGAAAAACACGCGTGTCAAGAAACGAGAAGCCTGATATACTTGCATGTTAATGTCTAAATTTCACTGAACGTTTCACGACGAAGCGTTTCATAAATAAATTCTGTCGCACCGTTCCATCTGGCGGACACGTCGCGGAGGACATGGAATTATTTTATCGGAAATGTCTCAGCTAGCATTTGATATCAGCAAGGTATCACGGACAGGCATCAAAGAGAAGGAGAAAATGGATGTCCTCACTGGGGGCCGATACACTGAAAATTTAAACGAACAGCGGCTCCTCTATCCCTAAAAATCTATATTCTCCGAGCATTATATCCGGTAGAAACGGAGACACGAAATTACCGAACTTGCCGTTAAATATTACACGAGAAAGATAGAGTTTATGAGAAAGGATAGAATCTATGTGACACGGCAGAGTATAGTTGGGACGAGTGAAAATTGTTTGGACCAGAGCTATAGGTTAGCAAATGAAGGATATCGGAATGCCCTACAACTCATCGTTCCATTCCAAAGTTCATTCCTGTGTAATCTATTCCGATAAAATAGAGGTTAGACCTACCCAAGTATACCATAGAGTCACAGGATTACCCTAAAGTGAAGAGTTTATCGAAGGTGCTCATCGCATTACTCACGATTCCCTCAAAATCCCTGGGACGTGGAGGCCCACGAGAGACCTCTACAGTATCATAAATCCAATTGTACTAACCCCAAAGAGAACACAAAGTTAGCGCTATAACCAACCAGTTTGGAGGCACGGTCTGAACCAAAGAGTTAGGTGCAACTCGCAAATAAAATGTTACGAAATAGAAAATAAGATAGTACACGCCTTTCGGAAGGCGTGTCTGAAGTTCTAATAACGTTTTACGTGACGCTAGTCGCATATTCTTGGTGCTACGATAGAATCCGAGTGACAGATTCCAACACCACATCTGGACAGTGCGATTGTACTCCTAGTTCGCGCGCAGACCGCTACGTGGCGCAACTGAGTTCTGTATATCTTAAATACCAGTAAGACTGAGATGGCGTTCTTAATTCCCTCTTCGAAGATGTAACAGCGTGGATTCCTACATTATTCAACGACCATTTAACCCGAGCTGCGTTCGACCTGCAATTCAGATTCTCCGAGAATATCTGGCCAAAGTGTTCGCGAAATTTTGGAACTCTTATGATACCGCGAGTTGCGATACCGTTGGGGCTTAGAATGTCGCTGGAACGAGAATTACGCGCGTTGAATTACGTTGTCATCCCAACTATGTTGATTCGAAAGCACGCGTGGATAGTGGTGTGTTCGCTCACACTGCATTTACATATCCGGCATGTCGCAGGGAAGCTTGTTATTATGCGAGTCACGTGCTTTTTTCGCCGGAGTATTTTAGCATGGTTTAAACCCACGGATAATAATTACGTTATTCGGATAGCTAATTCCAAGTTAGTCGAAGAGAAATTAGGATGTTACCTCTCTCTTATGATAAAAACACAAGAACTGAATTGTATTCCGTATACTTCAAGTCCGAAGAGAATAAGTAGTAAAATTTCCTGAAATGCATTCATGAAGATGTACATATCAACATAGAGTGGCTGTTTTCGAATAATACCACGTATCTGGGACTAGCAAAGAAAGGGATAAAGAACCCAATGACTTTGAGGGAGTGTGGTACCTTATGTAGCTGGAAGGAGGATTCCCCGCGCTATTCTTGTGACGGATGTCATCGTCGATGTTTAAAACATTCGCCAGCAAGCTCTTGCTGCTCTTCTCCTGCAGCTCCATGCTCTTTCTTCGGTTGCTCCCCAGAATGTTCTTTTTCAAATCCTTCCCTGGACGTTTCATGCGCAGCAGGCACGGCAACCATCGCAGGAACAACGTTTTTATCTATATTTAATAGAAAATACCAAAAAATTATTCACACATTTTTCTCAAAATCGAACGCAATATTTTTACATATTTCAAAGTTCCCATAAATTCTTTATTTCCTATATCTTCATCTAATTGTATATAGTAATAAGAAATAAATTTATAAATCTGAAAATTTTTAGGAATGTTTATACCCCCCGTCGATAAATTATTTACAAATACCCATGGATCACGAATTTTCAACACATTTGTATCTTTCGAAATTTTTCAATCACGTAACCCTATATTATTTAATATTACACAACAATCGAAGTTGTATTTCGTATGTCGCGTGATATCACGATTCCATCACCTTTATCTCCGAAATCGAAATACGAAACGATGAATAATATCGCTTTTTTGTTATCCATTAATCCCTTTATATTTTATTCCTCGTTTCACGATTCATTCGTGTTCTTCGATCCTTCGCGCGATTAAAATATTTCATCCAATATAAATCTCGAAGACCGAACGAAAATATAATAAAAATCTGCCGATATCGTGGTTAAATTACTCCGTGCAGGAGTTACTTAATACCATACACGGTTTTCTTTCTCCTCCGGCTAAGATTGGTATTCTTTGTTTCGCGGTGCTCGCCTCCATCCGGGAATAATGGCACGGAAAAGTAGCGCGCGGAATTTTTCGTAGCCCGTAGGATTCTCGTCTCTGCTTGAAGTACGTTTCCCCTTGGTTTATGAAAGTTCTAGTAACCAACGGCCAAGAGGAAGTGCTAACGCCTCGAAGGCACTTTAAACTTTCAGCGACTAAAGCACTGTCTTTAATGGCTGTAATGGCCACTGCGGATAAGGGCAGAGTTTTATGAACGAAAACACCGGCTACACTTTGCATACATCTGTCAAAGTTCTTTCGCGTTTATGGTGAACTGGGAGAGGTTTCAAAGGCTCGTAATCCGATTTCGATAAAATATTTCGATTCGTTGCACACTTACTGACAGTTGAGACATAGTCGAGAAGTAATTGAGAAATATAGTAATCGTCAGCGAATTTCTCTGTACTCTTTGTTTTCACAGATACATATTGAAATTAAAACGATATCAAAATAAATTAATTAAAATTAGGATGAAAGGTACAATAATTTTAGTAACAATATTATAATTAAGAAAAGAATATTAAGAATATTATATATTATATTAAAAATATTATAATTTAGAAAACAGTAAGTTTCTCCCAATATCTTACACTATTTCTTATTTCAATCTACGTGTCTGTCAATAAGTGTATATTGAAATGATCGACGTAATGACAGTGGAGAACGACGATAATAGATGCAATACTGCTATAAGCTTGTCAATAAATTTCTCCTTACGATGCTTTACAATTACACTGGTTACACATAAAATACAATTATCTACCGAAAAAATTGCGAAAAAAGAATTTGTAATTTCATTGTTCACGTAAATCGAACAAAATAAAAAGATGTGAATAAACCAAAGTAAATTTTATTTAAAATTTATTATTTCAATAACAGATCTCGAATGATCGAGTCGAATCCTTGATCACACGAAGTACCAGCGAAACAGTGAAATAGTTGGAGGATTAAACCCACGAGGAGTATTATTTGAAGTTGTTAAGGGGTTACAATGCAAAGAAATAGTAGCCAGTGGAAATTGTATAGGTGGAAAAACTGTATAGATGTTCATTAAACTGGCCAATGGTTAGAACTGGCCTGTCTGTTTAGGGCTACGCAGGTCAAAGGTGTCTGCAGAAAATGGGAGACAAAAGACCAAAAGCAGAGTAGGGATAGCCTATTAATATTAGTATATTATTACTATATAGTATCTATATTACTACAACAAAAGTGAAATTTCTTACCCACTTCCGCATCTCGTATCTATCAGATGTTCTATGATGGAAGTTCAGCACCAACACCGTCAGAATCACGCTGTTCGCCACCATGAACATGATGCAGTTGAAGTACGTCCCTGAATTCGGGGTGTTCCCGTAGATACCCCGAAGAAGAAAAACACAAAAAGGAGGCGATTAGTCACGGTAATGGATCGGGGCTTCGATTGGTCGATAAGAATGAAAGACTGCAGGGTTTCCCTTTAGAACCTCGACATTGGGACTACCCCAATTGTCGTTGAATCGTGAGACTGTCTACTCAAACGTTTCACCCCTGACAATCTTTCATTCGATCCTACTGTCATCTACGTCCCTCCACCCCACACACAGACACACAAGGATTCCTCTGGGTAGACTCAAGGATCGAGAGTAAGACTAGTAACGAAACATATACAGGCTAATGCAATTGCAATGCGAAACATCTAATGCAATGTTATTACAAGAGAATAGTGAGGAATAATAAATAACAATTATCAATTATTTAATCATCCACAATTGGAATTTTGTATGTTAATTTATGTATTAGCATACAGGCTATACCAAAAATAAAAGATTAATTTTTCATATCCTATTCTACTATCCTACATTTAAATTTTAATAATAGAATAAGATATAAAAGCTTGGTTATTCATTTCTGGGACACCCTGTATAAAAAGATTGGAACTGATTGTAATTTTTTAAGATTCAAAAATTACTTTTCAAGTTCCAGATATTTTAGATGTACTATTAACACGATTCAAATTCGAGATTACTTGACACAGTCTATTACAAATTACCATAAAAGCCACGTGCTTCGAAATTACGTGTCATTTTTGAGCACGCAACAACAAATGTACCGCAGTATTCTCCTGTCTTCACGTTCTATTGCATCTACGTGATGCATCTCATCCACGAGAGATGTTTCGCGAGACGTGGTCACTCTCGATCCCGGGTCTCTGGTATCACTCTGTTCACGATCCAGGAAGGGTCACACGTCCTCACGATCACACGGCACTCTCATTCATTCTCGACGACCCGGGGCCGCGTTCTTGTCGATCCTCGGGCACGAGGATCGTTCCAGATGGAGGAGAAAACACAGAGACGAGGAAGCAAAAGGAGAGTAAGAAATTAGGCGAGCGAAGAACGAAGAGGAGATCGTAAAAAGCGCAGAACACGCTCGAAGAGGGAAGAAAGGGTCGAGCTGTATCTCGTGAATGGTATGAAACTGGTATAAAACTGGTACAAAACTGGTAAGCGTACTTATCTGCGCGCGCGCAAACTTTGCCAAAGCAAATAAGCGGTTTCGCAAAAAACCTTTTAATTTAGGCCTTGCACGGCCATCGTGGTATCGACGTCGAGAGGACCTGTTACCACGTCTCTTAACACTTGCTCACCGTGTGTTTCGACGTGGTGTGTTGATTTTTGCGGACACGGTGCTCTGAGTAGTTTGCAGTGTCTTGCTTTCAGACTGCTAGTTCTCGATAGTTCTCTTTCGGGGATTTTTTGATAAATACGTTATTAAGTGGAGGAAACACTTTAGAGATAGTGATTATTATTCGTATTCGTGTCGTGTACGTGTTACCGTGAAAGCCTGAAGATTGATAAATCCTAGCATTTGCCATAGTCAGGTGGTGAAAGTAATAGAAATGTTTGTAAGAGGCTTCCATTCCAGAATGTTACCAAATTGTTCTTATAAATGCTAGGATTTATCAATTCCTGACGGTAAAAGTCTGTTTTGATTGATTGGTAGTGTGCTTTTTAAGTAACTGTGTGAAGCATGCGTGTATGAGACTATATGCACCATAACAGAAAAATACACATGGCGAGACATTCGTAGAATCGCATTACTTGACTATGAATATTTTGCAAGGTTCAATTTACAGAATACGAATGGAATTTTGAAATTTTGTTACTCAGATATGTAAATAGATTATGAGTCTCGTGAGTTTTTGATAAACGTGACGATGACATGTGTTTGTTCACCATACGTGACGTGAAAATTCGTCTGTCACCAGTTGATCCGATTTATTACAGAAATTGTTTAAAACTGTATTAAACTTGTATCTATTTAATTCTCAAGAATTTGAGTTCAAGGAATATCGTTATCCAACTGTGACTATCTAGCTAGTCCAATTGCTGAATACCAATTTTGCAATTTTGTTGCTAAAATATGCAAATGAATCTCGTGAACTTGGTTACAGATACAATCAAGCGAAGATATGAAATGAAACAGGGCACATTTCACAATCAAACGTTCTACTGATACGACTATTTTATCTAGGTATACGTTACGTACAAGTGATTTTGAACGATACTTTGGTATTTAATTTTATTGTAAATCTACAATTATTTGCAATTAGACAGACTATCACGCAATCGTTAATCCACTGATTTTATACGAAAAGGGGAACCGATAAGATAAAATAATTGCCACACGTTCGAGGATTCGTTTTCGAGAAAATCAGAGATTCATTAGATATAGGCGAATTTGGCTATGTATCCACGTTTAACGAATTTCGTTACAAGCTATCGATATTTAACGTATTCAGTAATTTAGAGGACACAGTAGGACAAAGCGAACAGTTTTCAAACGAATGATTTAATTAATTTACAAATATCAGGGACGTGTAACACGTTTAAAACGAAATTTGTCACGAGTGCACATATCTAACGAATTTTGAAACTAACTTTCCTCCAAAACGAATCTTTTAACGAGAAAATATTATCATCGCTTTAATTGTGAAAACGTGCAAGAATTAATATTACAATTTAAAGATAGAAAAAGTAGAATATAAAATAAAAGACAGGGATTCGAAAAATAACTAAATTAAACTAAAATGCTTACGAGTGAATTCGAAATAAAATATTCGAAACGGTTAGAATATAAAATAAAAAATCGAAAATACTTAGAATTTCGAATGAAATATTAGAAATGCCTAGAATTAAAAATAAAATACTTCAGACACCTAGAATCTCGAATGAAACATACAAAACATCTACATTTCAAAATAAAATATTTAAAGTACCAAAAAAGCCCTACGAAGACTCGGAAGCTAAAGTCACTAAAAATTCTAAACACAGAAATCTAAGAGAACCTTCTTCTTAACAGCACGTCTAAGAGACCGTCAATCTCGCGTGATCATCCCCGAAATTAATATCAAAGCAATCCCCCGGCGAATAGTTCCTTTAATACCAGTCCCGGAATAGGATATTAGATTTCTGAATCAACAGAGCAGGATGCGAGTAACGAAGTGTTAAGGAACATTTTAATAACCAGTCCTCTCGCATCGTCTACACCGATACACATCGCTAACCTGGCCGATATCTCGAAAGGGAAACATCTAACACATTGGCATGCAACTACGGAATGCAATTACCACGAGGATGCACGAGTGCGCTAGGTATTACACCACGAATATCGTTACTATGAAGGATGCACAGAGGGTAGCATTTGCACAGAGGTTCAAGCTGCTGCTAAACTAAGGATCACATCAATTTCAACGCGTCGTTTACGTTTTTCCTCGGTCAGAACAGCTCAACGTTTAGTATGCGACAGACTTACTGGGAGTCGTTACTTGTATCCTTGATCTGAACAGCGTTTTGTGACAGATGTTGTATTCCGAGGATTATTAGTTAGAATAGTCGCTGTGGTATATCGTATGTCATTTGTAGTTCGACATTGTATCTAGATCATGTTTTTATTGTATCAAGCTTGCATACAATGTGACTGTGGTTTTGTCTGTGTGAAAGATTATACATAGAACCCTGAAGGGGACGTGTACAGAGTGTTGCTTCCAACGGATGTTGAATAGTATCGTTTTTAGAATTTGTACAGGGTATCTGGTAACTTGTGGTGTAACTGAGCAAGAAGAATCTATACAAGGTGTTTGAAAAATAGGGTCTAAATATTGATATTGGATTTTCCGAGCGAGTGACACTCACCTAGATTATTATGCATGGAATACTACAGCTTCGAGTTCCTTTTTGAAATTAAATGCTCATCTGGGTAACTTCTCTTGCGAGAGGATTTTGATTGTAAAATTAATATTTATCACACGTTTTTACTGCTTTCGTCCAGTGTCACGAGCATTCCAAATTTTAGATTCTATCTTCTAAATACCCTGTACAGCTTTTATTCCTCCTTCTCCACTTATTTCGAGATATGGAGTCATTTATCGCTTACTTGTACCACTAGTTACCAGCCTGTATATCACTGTAGATATCTGACGTTCGCTTCTTATAAAAAAAATTTTAGAATATTGTATATTGGAAATAAATTATTCCTGAATTTCTGGGAAACATTATTTCACAGAATTGCGAAAAATTAATAATGTTTTCTTACATGTATCTTCAATGGAATGCAAAACTCCAAGGAACATAACACAACTAGAACAACATATCCCCAATCACGGTAGTCCCTCATTTAAAATCGTTCCCGTTCCATCAAAAGCATTGTTCACCTAGTTTTCATCCCGCCTGATAAACCCTGTACCATAGCCTATCACAAAACCTTGATAATGCAAATCCATCGTTATGGCGAAATTATCATCGAGTTGCGATTTTGCGGTAAACGACCGAACGGGGTAACGACCAAGAACGTTATGCTGAAGCGAAACAAAAATAAAGACGGGAGAAAGAAGGGGTGGAAAATGGAGAAAAGTGGAAAAAAAGAGGAGGGAATAAAAGGAAAGGGTTAATCTCGGCGGCGGCGCGAGAGAAAAAGCAACGTTAAAGAGGGTGGCTTTTAAAGTCTGGATTATCTTCATAACCGAGTTTAACGGCTCCATAAAGGCTGTCGTAAGCGTCCATGACGTGATTAATCGTTGTGTACGAAAGCAGGCTGCTTCACCCTTCCCACCTTATTAATGAATCCCGAAGCGAGCGTGGGTCCACGTATTTACGGTGTTAGAATTTTCGCCCGCTGCTTACGTCGACATCTACGAGATTCTTTGCCACACGGAGAAACGGGTTGGCGAGCCCAGAAGGGATGGACGGTGGCGCTAGGTGAAAATGGGAATTCAGCGACGCGCAGTTAAGTGAAAAAGGCACTTCTGGGTTAAAGGGAACCGAAGTTGCTTTGATTCGTCTCTCTCTCGGATCC